TGGCCAGGGAATGGAATATGCTGAATGACTTAAGCCTTGGTCATAGGTTTCCTTGACAGCTAAAGAGGAGTCTACTCCACCAAAACATAAAATAATATTTCCACTATAATATGGAAAACAGTGGCTAAAATATTGAAAAATCCTCAATGAATAATCACCACCACCATCATCATCACCACCACTACCATCATCATAGGGATTAATTTTCAGTTGTAAATATCTCAAACAAACATAACTCAATATTATTCTTAAATAACAACCTTCCCATTGCTGAATTGAGAGAAATACCTGTAGCAGACATTTGTTATTCATGGCTGCCAAAAACCTCTTAAACACCCTTTCTACATTTTGATAGTTCCCAAAACTATGGATTCTGCCTATCTCAAATAGAATCCTCCCAAAGTTGATTTTTCCCACGTAACCCGTCCCCCTGCAAAGCACCACCATTATTCAGTTTCTTCCAATCCTAACTACCTATGACAGGATTTGACTTGGAAGTGAGTTATGGAAACAAGAGGAGCATGGAACACCCATTTTGCTGTTGTAGACAGAGGAAGACATCCAGCTGGTTCTAGAATCAGTGCAAGGCATCTGTGTCAGGCCAGTTCTCGAGGGTGGCTTTAGGGTTCTAAGAGCTTCAGTCCAGAAATTATCCCTCTAGCTTTTCCAAAAATTCTGTGAATATTTAAAATTCCCCTACCAAATCCTTCCTTATACAAAGCAGGTAGAGTGATAATGTTGTCTGCGGCTAAGAACACAAACCAATACTTTGTCCAAGAACTTCGATGGGTTTGCATTATAGCGCAAGACTTACCTTCTCATCTCACCATTCTCCATGATGACAGCAGGATGCCTTGTAAAAAAAGTAAATGCTTAGAAAAATGCCATTTCCATGACTGAATAAATAAATTCATGATTGGCCTGAAAGATCATTTGGGAGAATATTAGAATTTTTAAAATGTGAAAAGATTAGGAAACTATTGAGCTCATTCCACACATTGGACAAATAAGACTGAAGACGCAGAAGGTTAATTTGACTTGGAACATTACCCTGATATTTCTACCAAATAGTTGATAGTTTCCACCAAAATGATCACAAAATTATGGGTATAACATCATTATATCAACTTTAAAAAGATAATATTAATTGTTTTTAAGGTTCTAGAATTTCACTTTGTTCGCTGTTACTTGAAATATTTGAAATTTTTGGACATCTAGTTTTCTTTTAAGAAAAGCTTTGATCTTCACAATTTTCTTTTAATGAGCTTCAATTAGTAACAACATTAAACAAAACCTACTCCAAATTTATTTTCTACCAGTTACACCCACTACTGCCTTACACCAAGGTTCAGCATTAAGAGCATAGAGTCTGGAGCCAGACTGCATGAATCTGAATTATGGTTCTGACCCTTTCTAGCTATGTTACTAGACAGAATTTATGTGTTTTCTTCATGCCTCAGTTCTCCATTTGATAATTGGGTCTAATGATCATACTTACCTTATTAAGTTGCTGTGATAATGAAAAGAGTTAACATTTGTAAAATATTTAGAGTAGTGCTTGTTGATACACTGGAAGTGTATGATGTTTAACTTTTTTAAAAATTAGCTTGCAGTTAACTAAACTCTCAAATCTCTTTCATGTATGTGGCTGCTGACTCAGTCTCTCCCAATCTAAAATTGTGTGACTGATTTCTTTTTTATAGCCTGAACACAGGGCTTTACCCTGAGCCTTGCTGGATTTCCTTTTGGTGGCACTGGCTCAGTGGCACTGTCATTGCCCCTTATTTCTTAGGCTCATCCACCCAGCCAAGGGAGCAGGTGCTAATGAGAGAGGTGCAAAAGAGAAGGGGAAGAAGTGCCCTGCAAGCTTTTCATGCGGTCTGCAGTCATCATGCTCTGCTTGCAAATTAAGTTTGCAGCCTAACCAAATTTAAGTGGCTCTAAGTACTTAAAAATTGGGCGCATAGTTAAAATTTCACAGACACAGAAATCTAATAGCGGATCGATCTCCAGGCAATACCACAACCAAACTGATTTTTAGCTGCCATCAAAATAAGCTTGGGAGGTTGGTATTCAAAGTATCCCAGTGAAATCAGACAAGGAGCACGACAGTGGGGACGGTTGTGATGATCACAAAACTGCCTTGTCCACAGGTGGAATTAAGTGTCCCATTGATGACTAGAGACACAATTCTGGGAAGCAAGCCATCCAAATGCATCATTTGAATCCTGTTTGCCCATTCTGACGTAAAAGTAGATAAGAAAAGGAATCAACTGGGGAAACGTAAGATGTGGAACTCTAAAAATAAACTTGTTTCATCCCTGACATCTGTGTTTATAAATGCATTATGTTAAACAGCAGAGATTTTCCCCATGGCTAGCCAATACCAAGATGGCGTCTTGCGTGTTTTGTTTTTTTCTATAGCCCTAATCATAAGGGCTCTCCTTACTGTCTCTTGGCTTCCAGCTTTTGTTGTAATCACTCCATAAAGAGTTGGCAGAGACAGAGCTGGGCCATTTCAGAAACATGGCTTATAACCAACCTGCTCCACTATTTTGCGACAAAAACTGAGTCTGTGCTAATCGTTCTTTAATGAAGAGGTAGTCAGTCCACATCCCGCTCCTCACCCAGGTGGAGATTTTCCGTATCAATAACCCCAGAGCATGCTCAAATCAAAGAGCTGACACATGCAGGAGCCAGATGTTTAGAGAGTAAGAAGGGGAGGTAAGTTCACACAATTGTTCTGCCTTCTTGTTTTCCGCTGAGGTTCTTTCCTGTGGGCTGTAGGACACATTAACAGGCTCTGGGCATGCATGTGGACAGCCCCAGCCCAGCCCTGCACTGAGAGCCTGCTAGCCCGCTGCCTTCCTTTTCCGGTGCAGCTGGTGTTTGCAGAAGGACATGATTTGAAAGTTGATTTATTTACCTTGTTTTTTTTTTTTTTTTAATGAATGGACATAGATGTCTGTTTATTGAAACAATTGATAAACTCTAGCGATATGATTAGAATTTAACGGAAAAACATCCTTGTCTTTCAGGTGGAAATCTAAGGACTTTGACTTTTGGCACGTTCATAGTGTAACTCAGAGCAAGATCAGAGGACATTTTGGGGGGATGTCTTGTTTTTAAGAAAACAGCTGATCACTTTCACTTGTGGAAGCCAGTGGGCTCCAGCTTATGCCCCTTCGTTTGCATCTGCTGTCTCTAGAGACTTTGAAGATGTTTATCTGGCACCACCTCAACTATACAGGGAAGAGAACATGGCAGGAAGGGCCTCCTCCTCTTGGGCCAGCTCCTCCTCCCAAGTCTTTTTAAAAAGTCATGGGATCTGAAACCTAGGAGATATAGCCTGACTGTTGTGAAAAATGGGGGTAGAATGAAGAAGGTATGCTTTCTTCTTTAAAAAAAATCTTTCCATTATTTTGAGTAGTGATATAAACATGCACACTGATTTAGAAAGCTTTAAAGGAATACCCAGGGAAAAATAATTCTCTTTGCATCCCTGTCCCCCACCAACCACTAAGTTCCCTTATCAGAGGTAGAACCATTGCCAGCTTCTAGGGTATTCTTCTGAAGAAATCCTATGGAGACTATAAACATTCATACATGCACATGCTTCTCAAACACACAAATAATAATGTATAATACACATTGTTCTACACCTTGCTTTTTACACTGAACAATACATCAAAGGGCTTTGTTTTTTGTTTTTTTCTGCCTAAATTGCTATCAGGAGACAGAAGTCATCCTTCAGTTCAGTGATCTGCATCTGGTTCTGGCTTATCATACTGACAACAAACAAGATGCCAAGTTAAACTCTACCTCAGCCTCTGGTCATCTCGGCCTCGAGAAATAGGAATCACATTTAGGACCCTTAAAACTATTGAAGATTTAAAAAACAGGAAGTTCGGGGTGGGTAGAGGGGAAAGGAAGGATGAATTCTGCTTAAAATAATGTTGTGTGGAATTGACAGTTGAGCAGAGAGACAGTTTGAATGCAATCTTGCAAAATTAAATCCATTGGTCCTAGTGCCTAAATAGAACACAAACTTATTGACTCTAATTATGTCATTTTTGCTGATTAAGGATCTCTAGAGGGAACACAGCATTAATATTCTGGACACAGTATGAGAACTTGAAATCAAATGGAGCTGGATATTAGTACTGGCTAATATGTTAATAATTGTTATTAACTTAAATAAGTTATTCAACCTCTAAGAGCCTTGGTTTTCTTTTACGTAAAATAGAAACACACACTTTAAAGAATGATCACAAGAATTTAAAAAAAGAGAAAGAAAAAAGAAAAACATCAGGCACTGTAAGTGTTCCTGTCATTGATAATGCCACGTAACAAACAACCCCCAATTCTTCATGACTTGAAACTATGTACATCTACTTCACGTTCATGGGTCTGTTCACTGTGCTTTGGCCGTACTCAGCTGTGTTTGAACTTGGCTAGACTCTGAGCTCTGGGTCAGGTTCAGGTGTGCTCCACATGTCATGGTTTCAGGTCAAAGAACAAAAATTACCTGGGGGCATGTTCCTCTTGTGGTAGAGGATGGAACCTCAAGAGGGCTGGCAGAACCTCACCATGTCTCTTATATCTTCAGCTATAAGTAACTGGCACAGTGTTATTTCTGCCCAGTTCTGTTGCCCAAATATGTTATGGCTAAGGCCAAAGTCAGTGGAGCAGGAAGAATATTCCACCCATGATGAACTACAGTAGAGGCAGGCAGGGAAGGAAGAATTGTGGAACAAAATATATAGGCACCCAGTATAGTACCAGGAACCGAGAAAGTTCACATAAATGGGAGTTACTATACTTTTAATTAATTATTCATGTTACATAATATATATAGTTATTATTATATACTTTTCACATGCAAAAGGCATAAGAGATGGCATTACATTTACAATAATTCTAAAACACACTTCAAAGAACAATATTTTTAAAAAAAATACCTACTTTAAAAAGTTAGTCTATTTGTTATCTCGTCATCGATACGCCTGACCAGCACTGGCATACACCTATGTCCCTGTGAGGATCTCAAAGAGATAGACCCTGTAAGCAAGAGTGGCCCCAACAGCCAACATCCAAGTACATAACAAGGGACCCCTTTGGATGGGACAGACACAGCTCTGTACAAAAGCATACAGCTTGGCCCCTTGGTAAGCTGCCCTCTCAGCCAGGCACATTGTACAGTGTGTGACCTGCACACCATAGGCAGCAGTGTTGCTCCAGAAACTGGAAGATGACTGCAGAGTCTTGTCATGTTTTGGGTTCTGGTTCATTACCACCATTGCCATAAGCGATGTCCTTGGAGCTTTGATTTACAGCTTCCTTTCTGCTTTTCAGTCATGACCTAGAAGTTTGGAGCTTTGGGGGCACAATGGCACCTATTTCCCAGAACCCCTACAGCTTGTGTCTGAATCCAGACCCAGGTGATGTGGCAGCTCACAGGCAGCTCTAAGGCCTGGAAGCTGGATCACAGAGAAATGTACAGACTTACACAACATAATTTCTTTCATCCTGACTGACAGGATAAGGACAGAAGGGAAGAGAAGAGAAATCTAAAGAAGCTTTCTAGGCTCTGACATTCTAAGCTTGTGGATAGATAAGCAGCTCATCAGGAGTGGGGGTGCCAGGCAGCAAACATGGAAGGGGGGAGAAGAGGAGTGGGGAGTGGGGGAGAAAGAGGGAGGAAGCAGGGGGTCAGGGAGGAGGGAGGAGGAAAGGGAGAGTGGGAGAAAGATGAAGAGAGGGAGAGGGAGGGGAGAAGGGATAGGAACAGAGGGAGGGAAGAGAGGAGCTCTGTCTGCTTTGTCCCCAGGGCCCAGCACGGGGCCTGGCACAGAGGAGGTGCTCATTAATATGAGAGTGTGTGGGAAAGAGAAGAGAAGAGAGCCTGCAATGTTGACCTTCATGATTTTACTTAACACCCTGCCCAGTGATGGAGCAGACATCCGAAGTTCCCACCAATCGATCGCTAAATATCTTGTGGAGAAGCAGCGCATCTTCTGGCCAGCATAACTCACCAGTCCTTGCCCTGCTTCCTTATCATCTTTTTAGACCTTGTTCTTCTTTTTCCTTCTTCCCCTCCTGCAGGCAGAGCAAAGAAAAGCATCTCCTGCTCACTGAGCCCAAGTCTCTCTCTCTCTCTTCGGTTTTCCTGTTTTCTCACTTGTAAGAGTCTGTTAGACACTTCCTCTGAGGTGTTTACCTGCAGTCCGGACCCGAGAGTCTTTGAAAGAGTCTCTCTCGGGGTCTTTCACTGCAGTGACACCGCAAGGGCCCCCTTACCAAGGCACGTGGAGCAGCAGCAAGGCAGACTCTGTATTCTGTTGAGCTGGAGGCTTCTAAAGAAAGTAAAAACCCCGAAGATTGCTCCTGGGAGAGCGCTCCTTGGATACTGGCCAGAATCAAAGCTTGACTTCCTCTCATCCTTTAAAATGTGGTTGGGGGGGCGCCTGGGTGGCTCAGTAGGTTAAAGCCTCTGCCTTCGTCTCAGGTCATAATCCCAGGGTCCTGGAATCGAGCCCCGCATCAGGCTCTCTGCTCAACAGGGAGCCTGCTTCCTCCTCTCTCTCTGCCTGCCTCTCTGCCTACTTGTGATCTCTGTCTGTCACATAAATAAAATCTTTAAAAAATAAATAAATAAAATGTGGTTGGGCTCAATCAGATCTCACGCACTCAGGAATCTGAGTCCCACCATTTGGCAACCCAGCCTCCTCCCTGGACCTTTCCAGACCCATGCAGAACCCAGCTGCCGGTGCAGGGATTCAGCATTCTAGGGATGGCGTGTTTATTTCGAAACAATCGTGAGGCTTGATTTGATGTAGTGAAAGAAATTAGTGCTTGCTGAATACGGCCCAATTATTACTGCATTAATTCATACAGATTAGCAGCTGACATTGGCTGGAAGGCATGCATAGGGATATGTCAATAAGTTTGGCTAAGAGACCTAACTCTCCATGGCTGCTGAACTTCCCCTCCGTCACCCCAAAGCTCAGATGATGACTCCAGATTTGGGATGACTTTTCACGTCAGGGGTGCATGGTGTTATTTTAGGGTTAGCTGGCAATGGACAAATTGAAGCATGGTTGGCAATCGCCCCAAAAGTCAGTCGCCAAACTGACACCCTTTTGAGAATTCCTTTCTCCCAAGCCCACATGTTAACTATTAAATAACTCATCAAAGACGGAAAACATTTTAATATGCTACCATGGAAATATAGCAAGACACCTCATGGATCATCAAATTTGGTATGTGGAATCCACACCTGGTGTGAGCAGTTAATACATTCTCAGTTGCAGTTAACAATGGCTTGAACAAAGAATGGATTATTTGTTCACTGTTACTGGTGGAACTGTGTCCCTCCTCCCGCATAAGATGTTGATGCCCTAATCCCTAATACCTCAGGATGTGGCTGTATTTGAAGATAGGGTCTTTAAAGGGATGATTAAGTTAAAGTAGATCCCTTAGGATGGGCTTTTGTGTTAGCCAGGGTTCTCCAGGGAAACAGAACCAATAGGATATATGGATAGATTTTTTATAAGGAATAGGCTCCCATGATTATGCAGGCTGGCCAGTCCCAAGATCTGCAAGGTGAGTCAGCAAGGTGGAGCCACAGGACAGCTGATGGTGTCATCACAGTTTGATCTGAATGCCTGAGCCCCAAGAAAGGTGAAAGGTGTGTTTCTAGTTGTGGGGTAGTGGGCTTGAGGCTTAGGAAGAGCTGATGTTTGGGTTGGAGACTGAAGGCAAGAAAAAATCTGATATCCTAGTTCAAAGGTAGTCAGGCAGGAAGAGTTCTCTCTGACTAATAGGGTCACTCTCTCTGGATTCCACATTCATTCTTTGCTGGTCCATTACCAGTTCCCAAACAGACTCTACTTCATGCTGTACTTACTACCTTAACGTCCTTCCCACTATTCATTCATTGAATCATTCATTTATTCACTCACGTACGGAAGAAAGACTATGCTACATGTTTGGCATGCATTATCTCATTTAAGCACTGAAGTACAATGGTGGGGAAAAAAAAAAAACAAGAAATCCCTACTTCTGTGTAATTTACAGATTGGAGTAAAGAAACATATTCATGTTATTATGATGAAGTGTGGTCAGCATCTGAAAGGGAAGCTCCTGGGAAGATAGAAGTTACTAGCTGAAAGATCTGACCTATTTACCAAAGTCTTTTCCATTCTGCAAGGTAAGAGGCAAATGTTAGTCCTTCATGACTCGGCACTCACCCCACACTCTCAGAATTAACTGCACCTTGTGATTTTATGTATTTAGTAATGTTAAAGAGCATTTAACCCTAGTACTATGCTTTGAGTTAAGTACTTTAGATGCAGTGTATATCACTGAACCTTTACAGCAATCCCATTAAGCAAATTATTTCCCATTTACAGACAAAGAAATTGAAACTCAGAGACTCATGTGAGCAGACCTTTGCACCAATAGTTCCCTTTTCCTAGAATCCTCTTCCTCCAAATGGTCACCTGACCACCTCCTTCCCTAGGTCTCCATTCAAAAACTACCTTCACCAAGAAGGCTCCCTAACTACTTGTTCTTAAAGAGCTACTGCTCTTAGTCACTCTTACGCATTACTCTATGTTTTTCATAGCCTCCACCAATCTCTAGTAGTATTTTTTTTATTTATATGTATACATGCTTATTGTCTGTTTTCCTCCATTAGAATATGTAAATTCTATGAAAGCAAGAAAAGTCATCTCCTCTATGTTGGTCCACTCTGTGTCCTTGGCATTTAGCAGGACACTTGGTTTATAGTCAGCTTCCAGTTAATGTTTGCTGGATGAATGAATGAATATAACCAAAGTCATATAGCTAGTAAGTGGTGGAGTTGAGATTTAAACCTAGATACATCTTTCTCCAAACTCCAGGATTGAATTCCTTTTATAGATTCTGCTCTTTCTGCTTCATGATTCTGAAGGCAATGCGGCCACATCCTAGACAACTTTGCATCTCTGGTAGCTTTCTACTGGGACACTGCCTTGCTCCCCAGACACTCTGCCCGTGTTTGCTGAGATGACTGAGTTTCCACGACAACGCCAGAGGAGGAAGAAGGGTTCTGAAGCCCCACAAGATTTTCTTTCCTCTCCATTGAGGTTGCCATCACAGACTGAGAAAGTTTTCTCCTCAGCCTGACTCCAGCCCAATGTGCCATTTTCAGCCTTGGGAGGAGGCATGTCCCAGGGCCCAGCTGGCTGGCTCCCCATGAGGTATAGCTTTCAGCTGCGTGACCCACATTCATGGGCAGAGGTTTCAGTCTAGGCTCCATTATCGGAGTATGAGCAAGTCCCCAATTTCTTAGAAGACTCTGGTCCTGCTCACAGAGAAACTTGCTTGGGCCCTGGAACCATGGCCAGGATTCTCCTCCACCATTGAGAGAGCTGGGCATTTCAGTGGGCAGCCATCCTCTTACATAGGGAATGGATATAGTCTGGCAAAGCGGCTTCTTGACCTGAGGCAGACTCAGCTTTCCCCATTTTCCCTTAGCTTAGAAATTGATGGGCTCTCTCGAAGTTCTCCATTGAAACCCCTTTACTGGTGCCTCTGGAGAGAAAGGGAGTACTGAAGATCTTTTCTGGGGCTTGCAAAAAATTCACTCTCTTGTCATCAGAAAACCAAGAGGAGTAAAGAAGTCAAAGTTAGCTTGTGTCTGTGCACAGAGTTGGGCTGGGTGCTCCTGGAACCAAAGGGAAGTTATGCTCTAGATCTCCTCCATGGGGGCCAGACCCAGCCGAGAGAACTATCTCTTCTTCCTGGTGCTTGCAGTTCTGTGCAGGGATTTGGAAAAGGCAGTCCACTATCCTGGATTGACAGAGAAGACAGCCGTCTATGGGGTATGCTTTGACTGCAAATAGAAGTGAATTCCTCCTTCAAAATAGCTTCTTATTTGCCTAAACCTCCACTATTAGCATCATTCCCTTGAGTCTCAGAGTTGCCAAAAAAAAAAAAAAAAGCTAACTCCCCTAGAACAGCTAATAATCTGCTAGACAGGGGTTGCCAAACTTTCTGGCATGGGACAGATAGTACATACTTGAGACCATGTGGACTGTGCAGTTTCTGTTGCAACTATTTACCTCTGCAGATACAGCTCCAAAGCAGCCCCAAACAGTGTGCTAGCAAATGGGCATGGCTGCATCCCAGGAAACTTTATTTACAAAACCTGCCACAGGCTGGATTTGGCCCATGGGCTGTAATTTGCCAACCCAGCACAAGGCCATAAGTCACTGACATTTCCTTACCCTCTCTCTGTCCCCAGTGCCTCTCACATGAGGCACACAGTGAAGAGATTCAAAATGCTGTTTGTTGAAGTACTTATCTGCTGACAACAGTTCAAGAGAAGCTGTTTGATAGCCAGCTTTGCCAGAAGGAGTCTCAGTATGGGGGAGGGAGGGTTATATTCAGAGGCTAAGGATGGGAATCAAATTTGCCAACTTAACAATTTTAACCAAACACATGCCATTAGTCATACATCTCAAAAATCCGACAACTGGACCTAGTTTGTCATATGCTCCAACCAGGGACCAGGAGAAAGTGAAGGCTGGGAGCAGTGGGAACCAGTGACAAACAAGGGTCCCTGAGCACAGTTATGCTCTCCAGCTTTGGCTCTGTTGAAATGAGTCTGCACTCAGGAATGATGTTTGCTCTTGTGATTCCAGAGCGTGAGCCAGATTCCTACTGTTCTGGCTCCGATAAACCACTAAAGTCCTTTGGTAAGGGATTAGCTGTTCTAGAAACAGCCAGCTCTGCAATCCAGTGTGCCACTTACCTTCTTTTCTCCCTCGCTGCAGTCACATCACTGTGGCAAATCATGGAATCCAAGACATGCCCGTTGATCTCTTTCAAGATGGTGGAAGTCATAACGGTGAATCTCAACATTGATTTTAGGAAATGATAATTACTGTAGCCTTCACCCCAGCTCTTTTCTGGATTAGCCTCTTGGTTTAGTAGAGGGTAGAGCATGAAGGCCTAGAGTGGTGTGTACTCATTGCAACTCCAGACATTTGAAGACCTTGCATCAGCTGCAACAACAAACAACCTCAACATTTCAGTTTCTTATCACAACCCACATTTATTTCTTGCTGACGTTACATTTCCAGCAAGGGTTTCAGGCAGGCTATATGCATTATAGTCATTCAGGGATGCAGATAAAGCTGGCTTTACCATGACATGTGTTTTCTTGGTCATCTCATCAGGTGAAAGGATCACAGTGAATCACGCCCTGGCTCCTAAACTCTCTGCCTGGAAATCTCATATCTGCACCCATTTCATTGACCAAACCAGTCCTATGCTACATGGAACTTCAAAGAGAGTGGGTAAGTGGAATCCTACCATGCGCCTGAAAGGATGACATAATTGTGAGCAGGCCTAACAACTATTCTAGGACCTAAAAAAAGGGTTAGAGGAATCTGCTCCATGAGGAGTCAAATATCCCCATGGGAAGTACACACAACCAGAAGCTGAGTGCTGATACAGAGGGGGAAATTCTGAAGGCCTGGGGAGCTGATGTTAGTCTTTATTTTTTTATTTTATTTTAGATGTGTATTTTAGATGTGTAGCAGATGAGAACGGCACTCACCAGGGAAAGGTAATTCTCGAGGGTCAGGGTGAAGGGGGCTCTGAGCTGGAACAGGTGTGGGGGACCACTGAGTGCTCCACAATGGGAGAAATGGTCAGACTGCCTTCTTCCGGGAAGATACACCGTTTTAATAAGTCTGAGATAAATACAGTGTAGTTATCACTGGATTCTATATAAAATCAAGGGTTAAGCACAGCGGTGCTTCTAAGAGGGGATAAGACCATTGACATGGGAAGGTGTGTGGTACCCTCATGAGGCAGACCATGGAGAGATGAGGAAGAAGCTAGTGTGTCTGTTCCATCTTGGCCTGGAAGTAATGTCCTCCACGTCCCATAGTGGCACCAGTGCACAAGACAAAAACAAACCAAGCAAACAGAAACAAGCCTCAGAGCATAGCTCGTACAACTGCGCAGGTTGGGCAGTATGCAGTTGGAGGGAGTGTCCATCATACAGTGATTTATGTGAAGGGAGCAGGTAGGAGCTGGCCGTGCACAACTTGAAGAATTCTGGGTGGTAGCCCTGTCTCCAGGCCCTGTGCAATATAAGATCTCTGACTTTTGCTCTTCATTTCACCAGGCTCCTGACCTCATTAGCGTGGTTTCCTATTTCTGGCATGGCCTTTACCCTTTGAATCTGACAACAGATCCAGGTATTCTGGTTTCAACATTTGGTGCTTATCAGTGTATAGCTTACATAGTCCCCAGGAGTGAGGTCACAAAGGGTGAATTCTCAGCCATGCAAGGTACAAAACCCTAGAGAGGACAGGGAGAGGAAGACTACACACCCCACAAAAGACTCCAGACCAGAAAGAGGGATTAGGATGAGACTGGGATTCCCATGAGCAGAGGAACCAGGGAATTGTCCTTCTGTCCCAGTTACTGTGATCCTATCCTATTGGGCCACTAAAACTGGCCTGACCTGTAAGAACACTTATAACAGCAGTACACTCATCACCTAACCTCAATTCTTGATGTAAAGTGGGTCCTCACTGCATTTTTGTTGAAAAAAAAAATTCATGATTATGTGTATTTAAAAAATAGTTCAGGGTGCCTGGATGGCTCAGTGCATTAAGCCTCTGCCTTTGACTCAGGTCATAATCCCAGGGTCCTGGGATTGAGCCCCACATCAGGCTCTCTGCTCAGCAGAGGGTCTGCTTCCACCCCCCCGCCTGCCTCTCTGCCTACTTAAGATCTCTCTGTCAAATAAATAAATAAAACCTTTAAAAAAAAAAAAGTTCAACTTTCTTCTTTCCATAGTCGAGAAGGGTGTTGAGAATTTGACGGCAAAACAAGCTATTGAAATGGGAAAAAGTAAAATCAACCAAAGCTGAGGGAGAGGAGATGAATATTTGTTCTGCAGGAAACCAAGTGACCATCTGGAATTAGATTGGTGCTTAGGGACTGTGTCTTCTTAAATCTATCTTCCCTTGGGAATTAGTCCTAGTCATTACAGCTCGAAAATGTTCAGTGGTGGAGTGAGTTTTCGGCTCTTTAAATGCTTATAAAAATACAAGTCAGGGTTACTACTGGATCTTATATTGGTATCACCAATATCAGAAGGTATCACCAGCTTGAAAACTAACATTAAACAGAAACAATGCTGCCGTGACAATGTTAAACATATAGAGAGAAAATTGCTTATGTTCTCAGCCCTTTTGAGTTAAAACAATGTATTTACACTGCATACTTCCTCCTCAGAGTAAACATAATGTAAATCATAATTGAATGTGTATAAGTGTAGAATAACCATTCTTCATGAAATCATTCTGCTTAGGAGCATAAATACTGAGATTGAGGTCAAGCTGTTTTCAGGGGGAACATTTGCCTCCAAATGCGTGTTTGACCTCCACCCCACTGTCCTTTGTCATTTTCCTCTAGACAGAGACACAAGTTAAAATGTAGGCATAGTGAAAAATAAAATTATATATAAAAAAAAAATGTAGGCATAGTGAAAACCTAACTCACTGTCAGTCTCCTGGCCCGTACAGTATTTGTCCTCAAATAAACAGAAAACCTCACCTTGAAGCAAAGAAGAAAATCTGGGAGGGGGGAAGGGCAGGATAGAGGGCAGATCTAGATTTTTAGGACATGGCCGACCAATGGGTTTTTCTCTGCCAAGATGAGTATTGGCTATTATAAAACCCCTGCTTAACAAAGCTTCCCACCATCAAATTTGCATAATGCCTTATTCACATGCATAGAATTCTACATAGCATTGCTTCTGACCAAGGAACTCAATTTGCAGAGGGCAAAAAATTGGGACATGAGTCCAAGAATCAAAGGTGGAGGTGGGAGTGGCTTCTCTCACTATGACACCTAATATCCACCCACAAAACGTTTGCTCTTTGGCCCTGTAACCTGGGGCTCTTCTGGTTCTGAGGTCTGATTTCTTAATGGAGAAATGCTTCCACCAATTGACATAAACACTGTTCCACCGGTTTGAGTGTTGAGACTGCTGGTCTGTCTGGTGGGGCTCCTAGCCTTGCTGGTGGAGGGAGGCGGTTACTGTACTGGTGGATCGCCATTACTGAGGGATGTCGGATTTCTATTACACAGGAAGTCTTTTTGAAATCCAAGGGATTCTCTACGCAATTTCTTAGAAACTCTGTGCCCCGTAGTAAAAGGTAATGGAAATTGGTAACATCTATAGCCAAGGCAAAAAGTTATTATTTTATATAGAATTTCGAAATACACTGAGATAGTATATTTAGTAGCTCAGTCACCAAGAGAGTGAACTGTGCTCAGAAGCTACCTTTCTACATTCTGCACAGTGGTTGTGGGGTCCACAGCCTTTTTGATTGTTGGCTTCCGGTTATGTCCTGCCAATAGGGGCCACTAGAGAAATGTCAACCATGAGAGACTATGGACTCTGAAAAACAATCTGAGGGTCTTGAAGGGGCAGGAGGTGGGAGGTTGGGGGAGCCAGGTGGTGGGTATTAAGGAGGGCACATATTGCATAGAGCACTGGGTGTGGTGCAAAAACAATGAATACTGTTACGCTGAAAAGAAATTAAAAAAAAAAATCAATTGGGAAAGGGAGGGGAAAAAAAAAAAGGCCATAGCCTCCACAGAGTGGGTACTTACCTCTCTTTGCCTCATTAGGACCCTTTGCCCTGGCATTGACTTTCAGCTTTGCCAAGAGCAGACTCTTTGCACCTCTCAGAGGGATCAGCACAAAATCCCTTCCCCCGAGTGTCTAAGATTTAATAAGACCACCTGCTTCCCTTAGCTTCCTCATCCCTACGAACAGTTGCTACTTCCAGCGGTAATAACGTTGATGACATCGATGGTCACTTTTTTTTCCTTCAGCCCTCTCACACTTGTGCAGTCAGTTCTCCATATTAAACTCCCTCTGCTGAAATATCAAATGTGGGTTTAAAGAAATTTTCTTACTGAAGTAGAATTGACACACAATGTTACATTCATTTCAGGTGTACAATATAGTGATTCACTACTCTGTGCATTATGTTCTGCTCATCACAAGTGTAGCTACCATTTGTCTCAACTGTGGTTTTAGTTTTCCTGACTAGAGCCTGAATGATACCCAGCATTAGAAGGAAGATTATTTGATGTTTCATTTACTATCAAATCTTCAGAAAAATTTATTAGGACACTTAGTTTAAAAAAAAATTTTAAAAGGAGGGAGATATTTTTAAGAGAATTTAATATGAAATTACTGCTTTTCAAATGCCACCATCCAAATAGGAACTAGAGAAATTCCTGAGAATGCATGCTAGAAAACAAATTCGTTTTATTAAAAGGTTTCCCTCTTTGTATTTGGAGGTTAAAGAAATGACAGAATTTTTTATTCCACCAAACAAACCATTTTGCTTATTTTTGGTAAATTGCACTAAATGTGGTTTAATTACTGTGTCCAGAATAGCATTTCACATCTGTGGCCCCAAAAGCTGTTAGTGCAGTGGATCTGTGGGATAAAGAAATAGAGCCCTCTTGTGGCTAATTTAAATACTACAACCCCTCGCTGTTAACGTAGATGGTATTAACCTCCTACCTGGGTTGCAGGATCTTGGGACAGAGATACCCTAGGGACTCTGCCTGGCATTGCCACAAAACAGACAAGAAGTATACTGTTCAGATAAATAATGGCTGTGTTTCTTGGCACTATACGAATACAGTCATTTCTCATTTTATTGTGTTTTCCTTTATTGTGCTTAACAGACAATGTGTTTTTTACAAATTGAAGGTTTGTGGCAACCCTGTACCGAGCAAGTCTATTGGCACCTTTTTTCCAACAGCAGTTGCTCACTTCATGTCCCTGTATCACATTTCAGTCATTCTCACAATGCCTCAAACTTTCTCATTATTATATTTGTTACAGTGATCTGTGGTCCATGATTACAGCTCGTTGAAAGCCCAGATGATGGTTAGCACTTTTCAGCAGTAAAGTATTTTTTAAATTTTTAACAACGTAACTTTTAACAATGTACTTTTTGTAGACATAATGCTACTGCACACTTACTAGAGTGCAGAATAGTGTAAATATAACTTTCATATCCACTGGGAAACCAAAAAACTCATTTGACTTGCTTTATCGGGATACTCACTTTATTGTGGTGGTCTGGAACCAAAGCTACAATGTCTCCAAAGTAGGCCTGTATAACATAAACATGCTCAAGGTCAATGAACAAGGTCATTATTAAATACCCAGTTTTTTAAGGAGTATGTAGAGGAAGTGAGAATAGAAGTGAGCCTGTGTAGCATTATCAGTCAAAAGAGACACTGAGATCCCTTATGTCGGGGGTCTTAACACAAACCATAGTCATTTCTTCCTGAATTGGCTACACACACACACACACACACACACACACACACACACACAGATAAGGTCCCCAGGCATCACAATGAGGGAATCTCAATGAATGCAGTAAGACTGATGTGAGGGTAGAATATGTTGAAACATGCACATTACTATTTTTTGTGGGCAAGGACAAGATAACCCAGTGAGGTGGAGTGTTACAGACCTCACAGGACAACCTGGAGAGGCTGGCTATGGAGGGGAGGAAGCATTTAAGGATGGCACTGGGTTCAAATGCCACCTAGCAAATTCCCAGCTGTGTGTCTTAGACCAAGTTATCCAACTAATCTATTTCTCAGCTTCCTTCTATGTAAAATGAATTTAAGAACATCTACTTCAAGACAATATATAGTGTAATGGTTGAGGCTTCCAGTTCTAACCCTGCCACTCACTATGTGACCTTGGGCAAGTTACTTAACCTCGCCATGCTTAATCCATAAAATGGGGGAAAATATATTGATCTTGCTTGGTTGTTTTGAAGATTAAATGATTCAATATACACAAAACACTTAGGAGTCATGAATGAGTTCTCCTTGCACATGGTAAACACACAGTAAATATTAGCTTTATTATTGGATGTAAATTATAAAGGACAGTTTACTTGTCTTTCTTATCTGCTTCTTTTTCTATTAATCAGAGTCATGTGAAATTGCCATTTTTGTAGGGCAAAAATTCTTGAATGCAGTAATTTCTTGGTTTAATCTAATACAGACCAATGTTTGTTTCCACATCATATGAAGGGTTTTTGGCAAGAGCCTAAGGTCGAGGAATAAAATAGAACTTTCTGTCCACATTTATGTCATGGAGCCCAGATCCCCCTTGCCCCCTTTGATAA